AGGAAGAAGAAGAAGAAGAAGAAGAAGAAGAAGAAGAAGAAGAAGAAGAAGAAGAAGAAGAAGAAGAAGAAGAAGAAGAAAAAGAAGGTAAGAGAGTGAGAGAGTAAGGGAGCATAATTGGGCGGGGGTCTGTGTTTTAAAGGGGTCCTTTACACCTGCAGACTAGTACTCATGGAACCCTGGGCTGACCAGAGTACTGCCTGAGTACATTTTGCCAGGTAACAGGGCAGGCCAGCATAATGCCAGAATCCTTTCAGTTAGTCATTGCCAAAGTTATTAGGGATCTCTATTATCTAGAAATAAAGTACACAAGCATGACAGTGTATCCTCATCAAGGGCAGTCTTATCTATATTATGCTTTCATTTACTTGAAAATCTGTTCATAAATCTAGTATTAGGTCAGCAAGCCTTGGTCATTTTTGCTGTTAATATACATTAGATTCATTTCTTTTGCTTCAGGGTTTTCTTTCTTTGTTATATGTTTATGTCATAGTGAAATATTCCCAGATTGAAGGGGACCTATATGATTATTGGTCTAACATACCTGTATAGTTTTAACAGAGCCACTGTTAAACTCCAGTGTTGCTTCTGCTGAATGTCCTCTGAACCTAATCAAGCTGCACATGTTTTTCTTCGTGTATCCCTCCACACTTTCCTGTTGTCTGTACACTCGTATGCCCACAGTACTGAGACAACACTTGGTGTATCCCCTCACCATTTTCCTGTTGTCTGTGTGCCTGTGCACCCATAGTATTGATTCAATATTTTGCCTTCTTCTTTTCACTCTTTGTTCCTGAAGGTCTGAAGTACAAAATCTTGGAGTTCGTATTTGTGATTTTTGAAGGGTTGAAAGATTCAGAGCTTGCACTGTTATCTCTGATCCAAAGTCAAAGTTAAAAAATGCTTTTGAGTGTTTATTTGAATGACAAGCAAGTTTTTACTTATTTTTCAAAATAATGTGACCATCTGTTTATCTATTCACTTCCCATCTGTCTATCTATCTTCATATTTTTATGATGTCTGTGTTTGTGTTGAGCAAATTCATTTTAATCATTATCTTCCAAATCCTTGCATATAAAACCAGGAGAAAAGGGCAGCGAATGCTTTAATTACTCTCCTTATGTATTTGATATTAAAATGCAAAATTATTTTATCTGAAATATGTACACAATGTCAATCCCATACGATTTTAATTTGAAGTTGGAGTTGGCATTAATAAAATAAGCATTTGTGTCTATTGAGATTTATAGATTTATTTTGTTGACCTATGTGTGACATTTAGCTTAGCTTGAGAAAAGTAAATAGAACAGTGCCTTATTAACAGAGGAAATCATGTTTTATGTGGGTTATAATTGCAAATCACTAAAGGAGCTATAATGATAAAATTTGTAACACAGAATAGCTGAGTTTAGCATTTAAGTAGAACTCATATAAGTGAGTTAAATATTTAACATTTTACATATAGAAAAACCAATCTGAAGGGCATTTTCACTGTGGTGAACTGAAATTCCACTATGGTGAACTGAAGTGAAGAATAGGCCTTGCATTTTCAAATTTCCTAGTAAGCATAAGCATTATGCCTGAGTCATTGTAGGATCTTAGATTGAGTACAGCCTGCCTTACCAACATGTCAGAGTGGCTTCCAATGTTTCTTCGTGCTCTTTCTTCACTCAAAGGAATCTAACCACGTGTGCCTCTACACCCGCCTTTTGGTTGTACACAGACTAACATCAATATCAACTTGCATCTAAGGCTTTGCAGATTCTCCAGAGATTTGATAAAAGCTGGAGAATTTTTCCCTTTAAGTTTTCTTTTAATTTCCATATTATCTAGGTCAATATTTTCTTTCTGAATCTTACTGTCCTTTCAAATTGGTCATATTAACTTCTTCACAGATAATCCGTGAAGCCTTGGAATTGCCTTCTCCACAGCCTCCAAAGATCATACCCATTCTTCCCTTGAGCTCCAGAGGGAGCTGTTCCATGCATCCCACATTGATCACATCAGCTTTCACACTCCAGAGTTATGGTCTCTACTGTCTCCTCCCCTTAGCCACAGGCAATCACAGGACTCTTCAGATTTTGCTATTATCTTTCTATAAGCCCTTCCTCAATTTCTCAGTTACTGTTTTTCTTCTCTTCCATTAGAATATAATTTTCTATTCTGACATTTTTTCATTGAAGTGGAAGCATCGTGGTCCACATCATCTTCCTGGAACTATATAGAAAGTACTATTATGTTTGTATGTGTTTTCTCTCCTCTCTTTTTTCCTAACCTTCTGGAAGTCTTTGAACCATGCCAAGTCTAATTTAACAAGACTATTGAATCTACTTCTTGGCATGCTAGTGCTATCCAGTGCTAGCCACATTTGAAAGATGGTAATAGTGACAATGGGTATTTATCAATGTGTCATGAATCTGGGGGGGATTTTTCTATCAATTCAGGTAAGTCTAACTTTTGAATGTATTTCTTTGCAATCCTTCTAGCTCTTCCTTCAAAGCCTCACACCTTTCCTCTTTCCCACAAGTATGGTGGCCACTTAATCTGGTCCCTTTCTTTTATTGTTGAAATATAAAATTCCCCAAAGCTCAGGCTGTACTGGGTCACCTTGCCCACCCTTAATACATAGGGACATGCTGAAATTTATTTCAACTTGATATGCCATGATTTGGTGAAACTCATGGGAGAAACGGAGGGTGAGCTTTCTTGAGGTGGGAACAGAGGGACATGTTGAAGACACAGGGAAAATGAACTGCGACTGCCTCAAGTCTCTCATTGTCCAGAAGTCACCAGCCTCAATAGCAATGGAAGTGTGCCAAGGCTATTACAGCAAGAACTTGGGCCTGACACTCTGGCATCTGCCGTGCATTCCACTGAACAAATCATAGATGAGTCTAATGATCTAGAGTTCTCCACATGATGGGGGCAGCTGGGAAAGCAATACTTTTGAAGTTCCCCTCTCACTAACAGGAAAGGACATTTTAAAGTATGATTTATCAGTCACATAATACCTACACTTTTGACTACCTTAAAGATGAATGAGTAAGTAATGAATAAATGAGTAAAAAGTGAAATAGGCAATAGGTTATTATGTCATGCTATGTTATCCTAGGTATGTTGTAATAATGAGTTATTCTGCAGATTCCAGGCATCATAAAACTAAAGCAGTAGTCATTTAGACACATGAGTTAAGTCATAACTAAAGTTTGATTTTAATAATAACTTCTAAAATTTATATTAAAAATAAAATATTCAATCATAAGAAATTTCAGAAATAACATTTTATTGAAATTCATCATCAATATGATTAAAGATAATTGTTTATAAGAATCATAATTATACCAGACTCTATTTTCAGTGTGATAAAGGAACTACTTATGGAAATAAAATACCAAATAGATATTCAATAGGATTAAGGAGAGTTGGAATAAAATATGACAGTTTAACAAAGTCCAAGAAAGTGATCTCAGATTTTCCAGGGAAAACTGAAGTTAGGACTGCTAAAAAATTTTGAGAACTCTTCTCCAGTCGTTACTTGGAAATTGTCTACAGGATGGCTGGCTGCTGCTGATACCGTCGATTTGTTCATGGCATGGCTTCCAAGTGCTGAGCACCTGCATCTTACACTCAGCTGACAGAGAGGCATGCTTCACTGGAGTGGCACCGGAATACAAATAAATTGGATAGCACTTAGTGACCTGAAATGCCACTGAGAGATGAAAGACAAACTCCACTGAAAGTGACATAAATATTTTCGTTTCTGGATAGGGGAAATATATAGGAAAACGATGAGAGACCTCTTTAATAAAATAAGGAAAAATGATAGTGATTTTTTTAACCCCCATATCATGGTTCTTAATATGATAGTGGATGCCCCAAAATAGAAGTACATTAGGGTCAAGCTAATCAGAACACAGGCAATGAATAGTTGTGACGTACTAAGCTAGCAGAGATACCTACAGGAGCCATGAAGCATTGCATAGTTTAGAGCTCTTGAGTTTCTATGAGGGCATAACCAAGATGAGTATGAGTCAGCCTTCCTGGATACACTTTGTGCTTTTCGAAAATACCCCTTAGTGATAGATTTCTTCTCTGCTTAATAAATTTTAAATTAATTGATCCTAAGGGACTGACTTCTCATCAGACTTAAAAACCCTGACATTTTACACAATAAGCCACAGCCTGCTAAATAGTCTCACAGAAACTCACACTTAACTTTGAAGCAAATCAGGCATGTCTCACTCATTGCTCAAGGCACAGCAGCATATTAAATCACTAAAGATTTAGCCTTTGAAATCTGTGATAAAGTCTCAGATGATTGGGCATTAGCAATAGTAAACTAAATCTCCTTTGAATAAATGGGAATGTCTAGTTATAATTTTAATTGACAAGTTCTTATATAATTATTCTGTTATACTTAAATATATTATATCAGTATAACTTATTAAATACACAATATATTGTAATAACATAATAATTATTATTATGCTTATATAGTTAATGTGTCAGCTGAAGTAGCATGGCCTAGCAATGGTTAGACAAACTGTATGACTGCCAATCATGTTCTCTGGCTCCTATGTTTTAAGTTTTTGAGGTCCATGTATAGACAAGAACATGTTCATTTAATGTCTGAATAACAAAATTTTATTTTCATGATTTTGTAAATATGAAATTTAAAAACATATTTTTTTCTACTAATCACTCAATGAAGAGGGAATATTTATATTTTCACCGGGAACAGTCATATTTTCACAAAGATATTAATAACTAATTGAAAAAACTTGAATAATCGCTTCTGAAGGATTTGGGTTTCAGGTGGTGTCTCAAGCCTTGTCTAGTTGGAAGGGCTGGTTCAGTATGGGAAGATGGTTTCCCTGGTTTTACAGATCACAGCACCATGGCAATTGGTGGTTCCATTAACATAGAAACTCAAATAACTACATTACATTGCTGAGCTGTTTGCATGCTCAGAACTGCTAAAATTAGGATTTCTTCTTATAAATGTCTCAAAGCAGTTCTCTTCAATTTTTAATTTCATTCTATAGCATGTTGTGAAGAAAACCCCCCCCAAACCACCAAAATATTAGCTATTTTCAGACTAAGAATTTGACCTTGGTCACTTTGTTCTCTATGGTTTCATTGTACACTAAGACTGGATCAGCAATAGATGAAACATGCACTTTAGAAAGATTATTTGATTCCTTTGGTGCCTTCAGCAGAGCATAGTGCTTTGAAAAACCTAGCAGAATGCCTATAGAGCAGAGATCTTTGGAGAACATCTCAGTCTGTCTGGGTCTGTCTCCCCTACCCCATATATCTACCCACATTTAAGCAAAGACAAATCGCAGAGGAAAATACATATGAACTGCTGAATGTGGCACTTTCTTATGAAAAGTTGGATTTTAATATTTTTAGTAAAATTAGAAGTAGCTATCCTATTTACTGCACATAATCAATGGAACATATAACAGGGAAACAGTATTTTATAAGCTATATATATATATACACAAATATATATTATAAATATTATATATATTATATAACACAGACATATAAATGCATGTAAGTTAAATGGAATTATATCACATAGGGTGATAAAGGTTCTCCTAAGAGTCACAGGCCAGCTAACAAAATCCAGTGCCAAGCATGAACCAAAAACTAGTAATAACTTTTAATGAAAAAGTTGGCCTTATTCTAAGAATTCAACATTTGCTTTATATTAGAGAATATTAGTAACATTACTAACATATTATGAAAGGAAGAAGGAAAATAAATCAGTGTTATTCAACTCACTGGAAGATTAATTTATTATTTTTAGAATTTTATATATGAATACTATATTTGCAATATTTTTTATCCTTCTTACTTCTCCAATGCTTGTATACTCCATCTAGCCATGATGAATTCATTACCTCCTTCTATTGTTTTATATATAGCATTGGAATTATATAAATGCACTATCATGTCCAGCAAGCTTCTTCTCTTTATAAGTTAATTACCTTAAGCATTTTGTTACATTGATGAAAAGCTGACTAATGAGTCATTTATCTTATCTGCCAAGTTTTCTCATTTTCCTCCAGAATCTCAGCAGAAGGAAATTAGGGTATAAGAAAAAGTCTGAAACAGAAAGGGATGAATGGGTGGTAGACAAAAGGACACAGAAAAGAATAGAAGGGTTATGCTAAAATATGTTTACCTAGTGCTTCAATTGTGCTGAAGTGTTAAAAATTTGGATTTTCTCATTTGTATTCCACAAATAGAAATAAGATATGTGTTTTAGTTATTTTTCTATTGCTATGACAAAGCATCATGACCAAGGCAGCCTATTCAAGACGGAGGTTATTGTTATTGCAGTTTACAGTTTCAGGGGTGAGTCCATGACCATCATGCCAGGCAACATGGCAGAATGCAGGCGGGCATGATGTTGGAGTAGTAGCTGAAAGCTCACATTTAATCCACAGTCAAGATGCAGAGAATGACCCAGAAAGAGCTAACTGGAGTGGTGTGGGCTTTTAAAATCTCTAAGCCCACCCACACTGACACTCTTCCTCCAAGGCCACACCTTCTAATTATTTCCCCAAACAGCTCTACTGACTGGGCACCAAGTATTTATAATATGAGACTATGGGGACTACTCTCATTCAAAGCAACACAGTGTGGTAATTTCTGATTTGGAGTACAATTAGCCATTGTCTGTCACCTCCTCCAAGGAAGAGATAGTGTTGAGCTATAACAGCTTTTTGTCAGCCAATGATTCTAATACATGACTTGACCCTTCAAGGTTGTTCTACAGTAATATTTTCTAGAAAAATCACAAATATTGCAAAGGACAGCTGTTAAATGCTCCCCCAGTGGAAGACTAATGCTGACTTGTGAACCATATCATGTTATGTGATTTATTCTTTCCAGACTTTCAATAGCTAGCTAATTAATACCAGTCATTTAGAGTTGATCCACCCTAAAACTCTTGGAGATGTTTTCAAAAAATAATTAGAGCTTACCTGATACCAATGGAATCAGAATGTCCAAGTGGTGTAGCAAATTACATTTCAGATGGCTTCCAGAGCTCAGAGTCAGAATAAGGGGTTATAAGCAGATGCTTGCTGTCAAACTTGATGATCTGGGTTCTATCCCCAGAACTCAGGAGATGAAAGGGAGCAACTCCTGCACAGTGTCCTCTGAGCCTCACATTCACATTTTGGCATCTGCACATGCAGTGGTACAAGTGCCACATGCCACACACACACAGGTATACACACATACACAAACACATACACACACACACACACACACACACACACACACACACACACCAAACATCAAACCAATAAATACTTTTTAGTAAAAATTCTTTTTACTAAAACTCCACAAATGTTTGAATGTCTAATAAAACTTAGAATTCCACAGGATATTCTTTACAAAATGAAAAGGTGGTTGTTACGACAAATCTTTTCACCGAAAGTGGCCTGAGCCCTACCACCACATGGGTGCTTTCTGCCGGCTGCCTGAGTTCGGCCCGCTGTGTTAGGGCCCTAAATGATACACAGAGGATTCTATTAGGTACAAATGCTGCTTGGCGAATGACTAGGATTCTTATCTGTTAGCTCAGTCTTAATTATCATAAATCTATATATTTTATAAGACTTATCTTATTGGACGCCTTCCATTGGCATCCTGGGATCAAATGGTGACTCTGGAGGAAGAGAGAAGGGGTCCACTTCCTTCTTCCCTTGTTTATGTATGAGTCTCCCTGCTATGTCATTTCCTGCCTGGATCATCACTTCTTTACTACATTTCCCAGAATCCTCCTTGACTCCTAGTCCCACCTAACTTGCTGCCTCATTGGCCAAACAGTACTTTATTCAACAATCAATAAGATGAACATACACAGAAGTACATTCCCCATCAGGTGGCAATTTTATTCAACAATCAATAAGATGAACATACACAGAAGTACTTTCCCCATCAGGTGGCAATTTTTTTTTTAATGGACAGGACATTCCTAGACAGAATGGACTTCCCTCAGTCAGATGATCTCTTAGAAAAACTGCTGTGAGTAAGCACAGAAGACTCATGTCAGGTTTCCAAACATTTAAGGAATTGCTTGACCCAATGTGCTCTCTGCAAGGAAGAAGGAGGCTCAGAAGAGAAAAAGAAACAGTTCACATTACACTGTTTTTGTTTGTCTCCGGATAATGTGGACAATATGATTATGTCTCTTCTCATTTTTTCAAGCAGGTCAGTCAGCCACTCTTTCCAAGTGGTCAAAATGACTACCAGGAGGGAGTGGAAGATGTGCTCCTTGAATGTTGTTCAGTCCTGGTATTTTACATGGAGTCCTTCATATAAGCCAAAAGACCAGCTAGTGATGATTTCTGTTTTCCTACCCAAATGACTGTGCTTTGATTCAGCTGGTACAAAGGGTCTTCATGTCACACTCAACACTTTACCATTTGAAAAGTAATTTTAATTAGGTGGTAATAATTTTCTCATTTTATGTAACAATTATAAAATGTCTCATAATAGTCTTAAAAGAATGAGCCTGGTAGCATACAGACTACAGTCTACACTTGAATTGTTGGATATACATGTGTGTGGATGTCCGTATGTATTCAAAAAGATACTGTTTCCATATATGTAAATATGCATGCATACCCCATATTAACTTTAGGAGTCAGTAGATCTTATCACAGTTAGAGTGCCTTTACATAGTAAACATCTATTTTCTTAGGTATCTGTAAGTTGGAAGTCCAACACCATCACACAAGACTACAATCTGAGTGTCACTACTGCTGTCTTCCTTTCTGGAACTGCCAGAGAAGAATTCATTTTCCTGCCTTTTCTAGACTGTAGGAGTCAGCTCCACTGCTTGGCTTGTGACCCTCTTTCTTCAGTTATGATGAAATAAGGATTCTTTCTCCCTTAACATAATTCTTGCTTCCTTTTCTGCATCTGTCATATACTTTAAGAACTCTGGATATAACAGGTAACCTAGGATAAAGGGCAAGTGTTCAGGGATGCAATTCTACATACATATTTTATCTCCCAATGTTAGTCACAAAATCTAGGGATTTGTATGAGGAAATATTTTGGGGAGGCATTACATATACACACACACACACAGAGAGAGAGAGAGAGAGAGAGAGAGAGAGAGAGAGAGAGAGAGATTGTCAGTTTGTCTTTCATGTGTGGGGAAATTCTAAAAACACACTATAAGATTGATAGCTAGTACAGAAATTAGGCAGATTTTATTTTCTCCATTTATAACTTGATTATCCAGACAGGTTATAATAAGCCTAATCAGAATAAATGCTATTTTGAATGCAAACTTCAAAATTGTATTTGTTACTCATTTACTGAATATTACTGAGACAAATACCATTCATCAAAGTTTATAACTTGAGCACTTAGAAAGTAATTTATTTTAAAAGTTGATGGTGCACAGAGTGAATATCACATGCTCAGAGGCTTAGGAAACAGGCCAACCAGGAGAGACGATCTGGCCTTCTCAGCCATTGATTTCTGCACAATCAATGGACTCGGATCATGCAGTTAATCCAATTCAGTAGTTAAGAAAATTGAAAAGACCAGCTGTGTGGTTTTTGGGTCCAGTATTTGTATTTTACTTTTTTTTTTTTACAAGAGACACTGAAAGCAACACTATTTTGTCAGCCTGTGTAGACGTTCAGAGAAGAGAAAAACACAGACACAAAGAGGTTTTTTTCCCCCTCTGCTGCAAAATAATATTTTCTAAAGGGAATAATAAAGTTATAACATTAATTCTCATAGGATGTTCATAGAAGCAGAAAACATGCTAGCTTAAATTTATGGGAGTATTTAGCTGAAAAGAAATAAATGTTCGTCAAAATAGAGAAGTCTCAGTCCCTAGAAACACTTAAAAATAGCTTTTCATATCTGAAACAGAGCAATTTTATTTGTCCTTAAATAGGAGCAAATATAAACAGGTCACATACAATGCCAATAAGTGCTTAAGTAATGTATTCTGTCTCTGTGTCACTCATAATTATGACTTGATGAAAAGCTACATTCAAACACAATTCAAAAAAGAAAAAAAATTAAACAATCTCTTGTTCTGTCATTCATGTAAAACACAGAAAATGGCTCAATTAGTCATGGGTGTGGAGTGCATACTAACTGCTAACAGAGTGTAACTCATTTCCTCTTTGTGAAATGAATCCATTCTTAAACCATCAAATGAAACCTTTAGTTCTCACTACGCTACTATTAATTGCATAGTACTTCACAGGCCCTTGTTGAATAGAAGAGGGGAAATTAAAGAAAAGGTCACTTTCTTCCCTTACCAGTGGCATGCTAATTAGCCTCAAACACAGGGAGCAGCAAGTGAGGTGACTGGGTACTTGAACTGGAGAGGGGAAGCAACGATAAAACATGCATGAAATGGCAAACTCTGCAAGAGCCTGTGGTCCTGCTTCCACAGCTGGGGATGTTTGTTTTAAGTGTTAGATATCTCTTAATAAATAAAGGCAGTAATTTGTGACTCCAAAGCTGATTTCCATTTTCAGAAAAATGCAACATATTTTCCTGGTTTTGCATACAGTAAGTACTCACATATTCTCCATGAAGTTTTCCAAGTTTGGTTACTTAGTCTTCTTGTCACTGCTTCTTTCAGACTTCTCCTTCCTCTGGTTGCTTCCTCTCTTTCTCTTTTCATTAGGTTTTCTGTCTACAGAATGCATCTATCTACCCTTATGATGACTATATGATGTATTATTTAAGCCATTACAATTTAGGGTCTCATTCTAAACAGCAATCACTAGGTATATGTGGTTAGTTAAAGTTAAACTTAAGTTAAATAATAATGAGTTATTGCCCTCAGTCACTGTTGAAGAGTTAGTAGCTGTCAAATTGGATAGCCTGGATAGATATTTTCATCATTAATCCAATGTCTTTCTATTGGATAAGAATGGGGTAGAGAGTAGAACTAGTCAGTATTAATGATGCCAGGAGAGCAGTATTAACTGTAACTGTCCCTAGCTTATGAAGACCTATGACCACCTTTCTAAGGGCAGCTTTCTCTGTTCTGGCTTCTTCCTTCATTCCTGCAGGTTCAAATCAAATTTCCATATAAAACACAACAAACATAGCAACCACTACCATCCTTCACACTCCTACACTGATCCAATTTGGGACATTAGATATTTAGTCAATAATAAATCCTAGCACACAGTACTGTTAAACTGTTAAACATTTGAATCAGTTTGATGTTACTTTACCACTGGGTGATGAATGTACATTTACTAATTTGTGACATTGAATGTTGTATATTCTTTTTCTGGAGCAGTAAATGCCCCGTATCTATCAAGGGGGTATTGTTTAATGTTGACCGTGGCCATTGGTACCTATTGCGTTCTAAGGAGTCAGTCAGGGTGGAGTGTTCTTACCTTAGTTTGTGTACAGTGGGTGGAAATTCAGCCATCTGCTGAAACAATGCTGGCTCTTAAGGAGTGGTGGCCTCTCTTAAATATCAGAGGAAGTAAATGCTGAAGCTAAAACCAAAAGGGATAAACAGAGAAAGAAAGGATGAAGGCTAGGGTCATTAGAAAATATCATAGATTAAAGCAGAGAAAACAGGGCAAAAATAGACAATTCTTACTAATTTTATACTTTTGTCTTGCTTGAATATTTGGCTAGTGTGGAATATGTAGATTTTTCTGATGG